GACCGGTTCCCGCTCACTGGCTGAGCGAGGCGCGGGAGCAACACCGAGGGTTGCGATCCCGTTGTCGGTCCCCGGTCCGGTCCGGGGGCAACACTGAGGGTTGCGATCCGTTGCCGGACACGGAAAAAGACAAAAGACAAAAAAAAAAAAAAAAAAATAAATAAATTAAAAAAAAAAAAAAACAGAAAAAAAAGAGATCAACAGAACAACCAGGAAAAAAGTAACAAAATGGTAGTAACAAGTCCCTTATGTCAATAATAACTCTAAATGCAAATGGACTAAATGCTCCAATTAAAAAACAAAGAGAGACTCAATGAATTATAAAATAAGAACCAACAATATGCTGCCTTCAAGAAACTCAGTTCACCTATAAAGACACACTGATCTTCTTCAACCCTAATTCTGCTGCCCTTACTCACTCTTTAGCATCTCTTGCTTGAGCTACTACAACAGTCCATACAACACTCCTCAAATCCAACCTCCTCAGCGCTGCAACAGTGTATGTACAGATATGTACATATAGCTTCACGGCATGTTACTAAGACATAGATAAAGCTGTATTTTATTTTTTTGTTTTTTCTAACTTTTCACTGCTGTGAAAGTTCTGCTTCCTTATTGCAAGGTACAGAATTTTAACAGACATCCTTCTTCAGGGATGGAGGAACCAAGAGGCAGAGTGGTTTCTGTGGAAGCCCTGGCCTTTGTAACTTCTTCTTTTGGCTTGATAGATTCCTTACAAACCTACAGAGTGTGACCAAATGCATCATACCTATAATTGGCTTTTTATTAGATTTTGAGGCCTTTTTGGGAAAGGGAGACAAGAAGGGCTTATTTCATCATTTTCAGTTTTAATATTACACCTGGCTCTGGAGTTTCCATGATGGGAATATTTATTCTCATTTTTTAAAAATCTATTTTTTTAATTAGTTATGAAGATTCATGAGACACAAAGCTGACTGTCCCCCCTTGTGCCCAAGATGTGAAGGCCAGATCCATACTGGCAGCATGCCCATTACTACAAATTGCCATTGTACCCCGTGTTCCCCACCAGAATTATCCCCAATCTACCTCCTTCCCCCCCCCCCCCCCAGTTTGTTCCCTAGGTATGTTCTCTCCGTTGCAAGTCCAACAAATATAATAAACTAATGTCATTGCATGAGTTTGTATAAGTCATCCTTGTTTACACACACACACACACACACACACACACACACACACACACACACTCTGATTTTAAGAATGATATTTTCTTCTTCTGAACATATTAGCCCAACCCATAAAAATTAGTAGACAAGTAAATTATTTTGTGATCATTAAAATATAAGCATGCTTGAGAAAACTACTTAATTCTTTCCTGTATTCCTGAAGCTACCAAACTGGACCTCAGTTTCCCCCTTACTTCACTCAAAAAATGAAAACCTACAGTTAACTGTGCTTATTCCCACAGCCCCATGGGGATGGGAATTCTCTCTCATCAGCATAGCAGACCATAGGGTTTAGAAGGAAACCCAAACGATAGAGTTTAGTGGGGGAAAGGAGAGTCTAGGAGGTACAGAAAGGCACCTAGATCCATTTATATTGTCTGTTGATATTTTTGTTGTTGCTCCCTCAAATTAGTAATCTGTCTTGGCTTCAGACTATATGTGGTCTTAAAGCGTCTCCATTCCCTCGGCCCTCTTTCCAGTCTGAGATACTGCTCAGGAATATATGCACATCTGCATTGTTTCATTCTTATCTAGACATCTCTGAACTCTCTTCTCCAGCCAAGCACCCAACTCTTGGACACTCACATTTTTAAGACTAGATGTGACTGGAAGACACAAATCCACTCTGCTCTGTAAAATTTGTGGTGTGCATCAGACCTGGCAGCTATTTGCCATTGAGAACCAAAACAAAAGAATATCTCACATGCGTGAAAAGTAGAATGTCTCTTTGATTTCTCAGAATCAGTTGTACTTCTAATAAAAAGTAAAAATAATGACCATTTTTGGTTTTATAGGGATATATTTCAAGTGTTTAGAGTTATTTTTATGTAATGTCACTATTGATAATGACATATGAAAATGTCTAAGACCAACAGGATTTAGAAGAGCACATACTAATGGGAGTTTTAAAACAGGAATGCTGGAGCCCTGGATTTATCCCTAATATGTGATTTCTGTATATGTAAATCACTTAACCTTGGGCCTTAGATCTTACCAAAAAAGATACGTTTAGCTATTATTTAAAAGAATTATATATATGGCCTCGTGGCTAAGAAAGCTATTTTATAATACAACTTATACTTTGTTTTTGATATTCAGATAGGAATGTTTCGTTTTGTTTTCTAATTCAATTAAAATTTTGCATTCAAGGAATGGAAAACCACTGAATTTACTGTCAAACCATTCAGGGTTGAGTCTCATCAAGATTGCAAAATACAATTTTCAAACTGCTTTCTTTCTCATTTTCAATGGACATTGATGGAAATTTAGTCTTAATTAAGCCTGATTCACTCTCATTTAGCATTAAAAAAACATTAAGCAAGACATACATTATTTCCGAGAAATATTGCAACATTTTTTCAAAATTATTCACTGTACTTGAGTTCTAAATTTGGAAGGAAGCAAAGTGCTTCTTCTCTCAACCTTCTCTCTACACACCAATAAAATCATGTATGATGCAGTAAGAAACATTTATTTCTCCAGAGTTTACTACATTTTGTAAACTCATATGGGACTTCTGAAAAAAAAAATCATTGTATAATTTTCTTTAAAAGTTAGACACAAATTCATCATACAACCCAGCAATTCCACTGTTCAGTATCTACCCAAAAGAAATGAAAACATATGTACTCACAAAGACTTGCATGTGAATGTTGTTAGCAGCATGATTTATAATAGCCCCAAATTGAAAACAGCCGAAATGTCCATCAACTAGTGAATGCACAAAATGTGATACATTCATACAATGGAAAACTATTCAGCAATAAAAAGGAATGAAATACGGATATACGCTATAACGTGGATGAACCTCAAAAACATTGTGCTAAGTGAAAGAAGCCATAGACAAAAGACCATGTAGTATATCATTCCACTTACATGAAATATTCAGAAAAGGCAAGTCTCTAGATACTGAAAGTAGATTGATGGTTTCCTGGAGCTGGAGGTGGGAACAGAGACTAACTATAAATGGGCATGAGGAATCTTAGGAGGTGATGAAATGTTCTCAAACAAGATGATGGTAATGGTTCAATAACTGGTAAAATTTCTAAATATCATTGAAAGGGATACATTTCCAAAAATAATTCACTCTTGAAAAGGGTAAATTTTATGATATGTAAATTATATCTCAATAAAGCTGTAAAAAAAATTACATACTGCAAACTTCACAGGAATTTAAGTAATTGTAAGAACTGTGAAAAAATTAAATTGATCCATCATTGATTTAAACATATGTTTAAAACTGACTAAAGAAAAAGAAAAAATTCTTAAACAAAAATAAAATTTCACACAAAAAATACTTTGCATAAGGTAATCCACTAACCTTTGATATTTTTTTGAAGAAAGTTGTGGTAAAGATAACATTAAAAAGTAATTTACTAAAACCTTTTTACAGAAAATTTCTTTTCAGAAGTATACGTTGCTTCAAAATCGAATCATCTGAACTTCCAAAACACCTTTTTAGAAAATGAACTCTCTTGAGATGGTGTCAGTAGAGGGGGCATTGACTAGTACCCAACACACTAACAGGAAACAAAGAATGTTTTTAAAATGCGAGTCTAACTAACCTTGATCCAGAACCTACCGCGTCACGGTGCCTCATGTGAGCTATAAGGTCATCAGTTCTCATTTTAATTATCCAAATTCTGAGCTTTCTGAATATTAAATCCCAGGAGGATTTTTGTTTTTTATGCGTGACAATGTCAGTAGAAAGGAAGGCATCTTGTGAAGAGATAAAGAGGACAGATGGATTTTCAATCTATATGTATACAAAAAGAAATGCCATAGTCGGAGTAATTCTAACCCAATACTCCGGTATACAGCACATCGATAAATGTTTGTTTGTTTGTTTTCTAGCTGAACGTTTAAGTGGTCGTTGGCCTCGCATCTTCACCTTCTAGTCCTTCCCAGACTCCAGCTACCACCAGCAGCACCTGCGGGGTGTGTGTTTGTTTGAGTGTTTCCCACGTGCCTCGATCCAGCCAAGAGCTTTTCTAAAGGACCCGAGTGCGGCTGGCTGCACTCCCGGGGGAGCTCTAGGAAGATATCAGTAAAAAGATGTCATTGACCACTGGAAGGGTCTTGGCAATCTGGGCAGGGTCTTCTCCCCTGGGAAGGAACCTTCAAGAGCTTCAAGGGATTGTAGCAGCAGCAGCAGCCGGGACCCAGGCCCTCAGCCCCTACGACCACCTTGCACTCGGGTCCCTTCCCCACAGCCCGCCCAGGTCCTGGGAACAGGAAAACCCAATAGCTACAGGGAACCCTTGGAGTCATCTAGTCTACCCACCCCCATAATTTTCCAGGAATGAAGAGAGTCGGGTGAAGTGTTGTGACTTGGCTAAAGCCACACAGCTCGACGCTGGCAGAGAGGGTTAGAGCTCGGGTCTCCGCTGACCCCGCGGTTCCTTGGAAAGCGCCGCCCAAGGAAAACGATATGGCATCGCTGGCGCGAGAGGCGAAGGGCTCAGCAACTTATGACAAGAGGTCACCAATGACACCTTCAGTGCAGAGTGGGCAAAAAGCAGGGGACCAGACCTCCCGGGTTACACCTGTTGACCCGAACGCCCCTTTTCACTCTAAAAGTGCCCTGATTTGAGCGTTCCAAACACGATGTGGTGGCCCCAGCAAACGCGGCATCTGCGTTGAATTCCCCCGATGCCTGCGCAGACAGGGCGGAAAACGGGAAAGTTGCACTTGCCCCATTTTCACCCGCTCGGTCTCCCCCAGATCCCCGAGTCCTTTCCTTCCATCCTCACATCAGACACATCCACTCCCGCTCCCGGTCCACCTGGTACTTACCAGCCGCGCGCAGAGCTGCCTGCCGTGCCTGGGCCAGGTCCCCTCGCGCTCCGGGTCGCCCAGCCTCTCTCTGCGGCCGGGAGCTGCGACGCGGGCTCTAGCTCGCTGCTGCCTGGACCGACCAAGGGTTGGGGCGGAGCCAAGTGGAGGCAACGACTGGGGGGCGGAGGGAGGCCGCCGGGTCCCGCCCCGCCCCGGCGCAGAGCGCAGCTCCTCTGGCGGTGTCCGGCTCTCGGTGCAAACCGGCCACCGCGGAGCTCCCCGGGGCAAGCGCGACGGTGGCTTTTCTCCGTTGGCGCCCTAGGAAGAGCTTTTTTTCTTACGTGCGCATCGACAGACAACTAATTATCTGTGATCGTCACAGAACCCGTGTCTTCCCTAGCTGGCACTCCCAGTCCCCCTAGGTGACTGTTGAGGTTCTATTAAGAATTTGCTTCATATGACTGCGGGAATGTCGTTCCTGTCTGTCCCCGCTCCCAAACGCTGCATCACGTTTTCCGTCCGGCTGGTCTGTGGCTACCCCCGAAGGCTTGCGCTCTACGTGTCATAAGATTGCCCTTTGATCTAATAGTGGCTGTTTGGAGAAAGTAGGAATGTCCATAGTTTTCTTATCTGCATCTGGAATCTGGGTCTTCCTGTTTATTAACAGATTATTTTAGCAGATTGGAAGGCAAAATGCAATGCAGACAACTTTTTGTGCAAAGAAAAGCAGAAAACAATGTATATCATGTTTCACTTTCAGCTTCTCAGTAAGGAAAATAAAGTTCTTACTATTAAGATCTCATTGTGCCCTTTATTTTATTTATTTATTTTTTTTCAGAGAAACAAAAAAGGAATATTGGTGCCACCCGTCAGATAGAAAAAAAAAAAATTGCATGAAGTTGTTGGGGGGTTTTTCTGATAAAACAAAAGGAGTGTGTTTTTTATTAAAACATACAAATTATTTCTAAGTTTATTCTCATTTTTAATAAAATATAATCAAAGCAAGGTTATCCTCATTTACAAAATTAATTTGGTCTAATTATTTTTTTTATTGGTTGTGAATATTCATGAGATACAAAGCTGATTGTCACCCATAGTGCCCAAGATGCGAAGGCCAGATTCATACTGGCAGCATGCACCTTACCACAAATTGTGTTTGTACCCGTGTCCCCCACCCAGTTATCCCCAACCTTCCTCCCCCTCCCCTTTTCGGCCCCACTCCACTTTGTATCCTAAGGTCTGTTCTCTCCCTCTGCAAGTCGAACTCACCACTGTGGACTTTCCTTCTTTCTTTCTCTCTTAGCTCCCATTTATGAGTGAGTATGTGCAGTATTTATCCCTCTGTGCTTTGCCTCTTTCACTCAACATAATTTCCTTTAAAAGCCATATTAAATGGATGGTGATGCTGCTGATAAAATTAATGAGCTGTTTTCTACTTCCAGAGAAGGTGGTTTCTCAATGAAGTCCTAAAATCTCTGGTCTCCTGGAAGTTGTAATTAGTGTTCAAATTCTTAGCACTAATCTGCTCGTTTATATTGTGCTCTGGCTTCCTACCCAAGGCCTATGATACCCACCACTTCCCTACAGCTACTTCCCAATTCCCATTTTAGGCAAAAGCTATGTGAAATATGAAAATATAATCAAGTAAATATTTCACTTAAAGTGTCTGAAAAGGGTCCTACAATCAGGGTCTTTAAATTGTTTAATATCCATACCCCCACAATGTAGTAATAATCTCTATCTTCAGATAATAAACTGAGGCTTAGCAAGATTAGATCATTTGAATAGGTTAAATAGCTGGGAAGAATCCAAGCCAGTTTTGAACTGAGATCTTTCTGCCTTCAACATTGATTGGCATTCTTTTAATTACACCCTGATAAAATTTGTGATAGGTACGTTTTGTTTTTAAAGAACACAGTTACTTGCGTGGTCATACAAATATTACTTAAAGAAATTAAGAGTTATGTATATCTTTATATAACTTCAAAACTTACTATCTTGCATATTTCTAAGGCCTATTATTATATTACATAAAATATATATATATTATTATCTAAGGCAAATTATTCTAAGGCCTATTTATTTTAGGGATCCTATGATAGAGAGTGATACTAAAATACTTGAAGTTATGAGTTCTACCACCATGACTGGATTTTTATGATTCTGCAACTGTATTTCTTATACTCACAAAATTTGTTTTGTAAAACCTGCATTTTTGGATAAGTTTGATAAAAAAATTTTAAAAATTAGACCACTTGTATGTTTTAAAGCCACATATTTGAAATTATCAGAACCACTGGAATGTATGTCCCACGATGGCTAATATCCTCAATACCCAGAACAGTGCCTGCACAAAATAAGTGCTCAATAAGTTTTAAAATGAATAAATATTAACCTCATTTTCTTCACTTAAGACAAAATAATGACGTAGGAAAACATTATTTACAGAAAGTGTTTGTGTATTTAGAGTAGATTGAAGATTTTTGGTAGCCTCTCATTGCTACTAGGAAAGTAAGGAGGTGATGCAGTCAGGTAGACAGCCCAGAGGTTTGCAGTATCTACTGCTGGAAATGGTAGACAAAACTTGACTATAAGTCCAAAAAGAATGTTTTTGAGTCCAAGAATTGGTGGGATCAGAAGTTCCACACAATCGTATAAATTTGTGTCAAACATATGACTCTAAATGCAGAAAGTTTAATCCTTTTGGAGGGGTTGTGCCCAGTGATGTGATGGAAGGGCAAAGCTTAGAAAATAGATGAAGTCAAAAGGGGAGAGAAAAAAAGGAGAAATCATAGAACTATAAATCTCAATCAAATGAGACAGATGGGAAGATCAGAAGTCCTGGTCAGGAGGTAGGGCAGTTTTCTTTAGAGTTTTAGTGGTACAGGGATGCCTCAGTTTATGAAGGAGCCGTGGGTGGGATTGGCTGACACAGAATGAAGATCAAGAAATCGAAGGCTAAGGTATTGAAGAAACTATCCACATGGGCATTGAAGCCACCAACAGTGAAGAGCAGAGAAGTTTCACTGGGAAGAGGAGTGAGTCAGATACCAAAGGCTTCCATGAATGTGGTGAAATGATCCAGAACTGAGTGGGATGACTGCACAGTTGGTACAGAAGGTACACATCCAGAAAGGAAGAGCCTAAGTGGATCAAGGGCTAGTATAAGAGGTGGTTAACCTTTCAGAAGCCATACTGGGGGGCTGCGAGGAGGCCTGTGCTGCTTCCTGTGGTCCTAGGTGTGAGACAATGAGCAGTCTACACTGAATGGACATTCAGAGGAAATTACTCTCAAGAAAAAATCTGATTTTCACTTAATGCCAGAAAATGGAGAAAGCATTGTGTTTATGAAGGTAGTGGGATTTTTCAGTATTGAACGAGGATACTGCAAGGGCAGAGGGGTTAGACGTAGGAGGCAGGGCCGGCTTCATGGAAAGGCTCTTCTTTTAAGAAGGCCCCTGTTTTACTTAATACTCTGCTTTGAGATACTTAATAACTTTTTTAACAAGGGGACTTGCATTTTCGTCTTGCACTGGGACCTGCAATTTATGTAGCCAATACTGCTTGGAAGGGTGGAGAAATAGGAGCCTGGGAGAAGCAAGAAGTGGCACGAATCCTCACGGGATTAAAGTTCAGGAGAGACTAAAGGCAGGAGTTGTATTTTGAGGAAAGCCCGAGAACTGCAGAGAGAAGGGGTATGTCTGCAAGATTTCGAGTGAGATTTAGTTCTCACTCTATTCAGGGCCAGGCTGGCTGCGATCTGGGCAAGAGAGGTAGACAGTTGTCACCAACAGCCTACTCCAAGTTTTCACATACTAGTGTATTTGTTTCCTAGGACTCCATAACAAATTACCATAGACTTGGTGAATGAAACCAGCAGAACTTATTCTCTCACAGGTCTGGAAGCTAGAAGTCTGAAATCAAGGTGTTAGCAGGGCAACTCTCCCTCTGAAGGCTCTAGGGGCGAATCCTTTTTTGCCTCTTCTAGCTTTTGGTGACTACAGGCAATCTTCATGTTCCTTGGCTCGTAGCTGCATAACTTCAATCTCTGCCTTCATCTTCACATTTTCCCTGTGTTTCCCCTCTACTGTCAGTGTTTCCCTCTTCTTATAAAGACACTAGTCATCAGATTTAGGGTTCACCCAGTTAATCCAGTGTGACCTCATCTGAAGGTCCTTACCTTAATTACATCTTCAGAGATGTTTTTTTCCAAGTAAGGTCACATTCACAGGTATCAGAGGTTAGGACATGGACATATTTTTATAGAGACCACCATTCAGTCTTTTATAGCCAGGTCTGCTGAGGCCACAAGAATAGCCAAGCTGAATGACACTGGCATCATAATTTTTCAGGTATACCTGGCAAACCAAAATATCTATAACAATATAAAGCTTATCAATGTTGCTAAAGATTTCCAACCGTGAAATTTAATACATATGAAATTCAGAAGATTAAAACTGCCCAGGGAGACTTTATACCCCTGGGAGGAGATGTCTGTCCTTGGGGACAAAAGACACTAAGGAGAGGAGTCATGAACCTTTGGACAGTGCCAAGTCTGGTTACAGAGAACTGAGGAAGTGGGATTCTGCACTCCTCTTCGCCCACCCTCCATTCTAGTGGACAGATGTGGTTCCCTGCTGCTAAAGGAGAGTCTATAGGATGACCACATTTCATCCCTAGCTCAAAATAGGAGATTTAGAGAGGCTAGAGTAGTGACCTTGTGCATCTGTGACAGAGGCTGAGCTAGTTTCCCAGGCTATGCCTTGTAGAGGGCAATTTTTAAAATCCTTGAGGAGAGGGGAGAAGAAAATATTGAAATCAATGATAACTTGCGTCCCATTCTCCTCTTCCAGCTGACAGGCACACTGAGGAATATTTGAGTAGGTGCTAGAGCCAAATGAAACTCTCCTTAAAAAGCATAACATTCTTTGGTTCTTTCTCCCTTCTGCTAAAGGCAGAACAGGAACTATAAATTCCATCAAAGGTTCCATCATTATTCGCTGAGTGATGACAGTGAGAGGATTCCACATTGTGGCAGGGGCAGCAGCATAACCAGGCTGAGGTTTGAAGCAGAACAGATGAGCACTCATCTCTGCGAGGCCACTATGGAGGTTTTCCTGAGACCAGG